ATATTTTCATTGTAATTCGCAGCCTACAATGTCGAGTTCAAGTTACCTGTGCTCCAACTAGTCCCTCTTTTAGTCTAGGAATGTCTGTGTGTCCATAATCCCCAAATTTATCTTCAGTGCTCTCATAAAGGTTTATATCATGTAATCTGTTGTCATAGTGATTTTTCAGTTGCCATGGCAAATCGTTGTGACTGGAGGAGAAAATAATGTCATGAATACACACGTACAAAATTTCATTCTTCGAATTATTATTTATGTTTATTTTGAAAACTGGTATATTATTGTTATCAATCATACACCCCAATAACAATGACATCTCTTTAAACTGACAACAAACTACTTTGATGTGATTGACCGATGCCGGTCTGATGCAACCGAAAAGTCGTCCTGTGACCCATTTTGTTTTATTATTTTCGGTATCCTGACCCAACTATAATTCTGACGATGTACTGTTTTATCTTATCTACAAGTCTGGTGACTTTGGGCAGAATGTCGTAAAATAAATTCAGTGCTTTAAGCTTGTAAATAAAAAATACGCTCAGTTATTGTGACTATAGTCTGTGTGTCACTAAATTGGCAGACGTTTCAACTCGATGATAATGCAGTCCGTAGTCTCATGCCATTGCTTATAGAAAGTCGCGCGTTTCACGAGATTCTACACTGAGCATCAGATTGTTTCGTCCTTCGGTTTGCCCTACATAATTTCTTCAATTACTCATGCTCGTCAAATTACATCGATCTGACGCAATTGGCTGTCTTTTGCAAATAAATGCAAATAAATCACCTATTTGTAGGTGATTGGATCATTTTCCCTGACTGTGACCCAGAAAACCAAAAAGATGGCGACCAAGTTACGTTAATTTTGTTTTCAACGTAAACTTCCAGACCTAGTTTGAACGATTTCAGTTAAAGGGTGGTGGTCGTCGCGCCGCGTCCAGTAACGATATTGGACTCATAGTGAGTAAAATACACGTTTGTTTGTTCACACGAAATTGGAGCACGCGCTGCGCGGCGACCACCGCCCTTTAAAGTTGACATGATGCAAATATGTACTAGTACGCCGACTACTAGTCATCTATCATCAATGTTACAAGACCTGATGTTTGCTATTGGCAGCAGTTTGCTTATCAGTAAAAGGAAACAAAATAATTGTTTAACAACGGGGGGGGGGGGGTATTAGAAGTGAGTTACAATCGTACCAACTTCTAAACACATTGTGCTTCTTTTAGATATTTATTTAACGATCAACTCATGTCACGTTTTTAGTACTACGCAACGCGGAATTTAAAAAAAACAGCTAACCATGTGCATATATGTATATGTAGTCAATTTTCCAGGTTTCTTGGTAGTTGAAAATGTGAAAATTGTTTACGCTGAATATGCAAACATGCAAAATTCTGAATGGCTTGTTTTCAAAATCTGTGGTCTGCAGAAATATATTGAAAACCACCATTATAAAATGAGACTAGATTATCGTTTTTGTATTACTGAGCTAAAAGTTGTGTTGGTTGCACACTATAGTAGTATTCATTTGATGGATAACTCACCCATCTACAAGTGGCACTTCTTTCATCAGCCTTTTGGCCGTCTCCAGAGAGTCGCTTTCTTTTGTTGATCTCGACAACGGCACAGCGATGGCTGTCATCACAGCAGCTAGCACTACTATAGTTATGGCGACAATGGCCACGATGACGACCCATCGTTTCTTGTCCTTCTGATACAAAAATATATCTGACTCTGGCATTTTGGCGATGGTGATCAAGTCGCGAATTACAGGTAACTGTTAATAACAGCGCGTCGGTATCTCGAATGGTTAGTTTAGATATCGATCACGGCGTCCTTATCTGTCAATCGCACCGTGTAAATATGTCCCCTTTATATCCGCCTATAATTGCTCATGGATCAATACAGACAGGTTTGAATTTAGGAATTAATTGACTTCTCTTACACCGATAAATAAAATGATCGATGAGTTTTATTCCAGTTCCGGGCTGGAATGATGTTGTTAAAGACGCCCATGATAGGGCTCGTGAATGTTTTCTTGCGTGGCGGGATGCGGGCAAACCCGGACAAGGTTTCATTCACCATACGATGCAATCATCAAGATCACAATTCAAGCTTCCACTACGTAGTTGTCGGTAAAATGAAGTACAGACAAGAGCAGACTCTATTACAAAATTCTTAATAAATAAAGAGTGTAGTGCATTCTGGAAGAATGTTAATACAAAAAAAAAACGTGTTACACCGCCCTCCACGGTTGAGGGTACTTCGGGTGAACCAGACTTTGCATGTAGGCAGATCATTTTGAAGCTATTTTGAAATCCGTGAAGAATGATCAATATAAAGCAAAAGTTCGAAATTATATATCTGACTGTGATAATGATGGTAATTATGTATCTGGTGCGGATATTGTGAAAATTATCGGTAAGCTGCCAATTCAAAAGTCACGTGACTCTGATGGTTTCTGCGCTGAGAATCTTAAGTATGCTAACTCGTATGTTAATGTGCATTTGTCTAATGTGTATCTCATTCATGTTTGCTCACGAATTTATCACTCCCGAGATGTCAAACGTTATCTTTCTCTCTCTATTGAAAAATACAAAAGAAAATTTAACAAGCAAGAAAGTTTGTTTCAGCCTATGTAACCGATTCAACACATCCTTGCTACAGAAAACCTTTATTAATAGTTGTCTAAGAGAAAACAGTTGTAAAATGCTATAAGATGAACAAAATTTGCCATTTTCACACATCGTCCGCCTGCACGGTGTTGTTCCGTTCGGACATTCCTCCCTCTACAACACCGTGCGGTAATACCATTCATAATCGTGTATGTCACGTGGTTGCGCGATAGAAAGTTTACCGACCAATAGAAAGCTTTGTTACAAAGACTGCCAGAAAACGCTTGGAGCTCTGCATTTCTGATATTTTCGGCTTCATTACTGCCAATATGTGTTGCAGTGATATCACGAGCTTTGGGGTATAACACCTACTCTTCTATAACAGTCAACAGTGGTGACAACACTATTACC